TTTGCTATAGCATTCGTCATCATTTAGATCTCTGATGATCCTATTCAATCGATCATGTTGAAGGGAATTCCGCGCTTTGTTCCGCTGATTAAGGTCCCATCGCGAATATGAGGCTGCGTCCGTGATCGCACATATGGAGCCCCGTGATCAGCTCTTAGGACGACGTCATACTTTGCGATTCGCTCGATTCGCTAATCGAATCGCAAAGTATGACGTCGGCCTTATGCTGCTCTGAACTGATCGTGAAAACTGCGGCACAATTTCTCCTCAACAAAAAGTACGTCCAATTTACGAGATTTGATCAACTGTTCTACACATGTTGAGTTGGCACACTTTTGCTCCACCGTTGCAAAACCTGTTGCTAGCCCCTTTGAAGGGCGCTCAGAGAGTTCGCAATGAAGTCTAATTATGAACTACTAATAAGATGTACGGGAAATTGTGAATCCGCTATTGTATCAGATATTCCTGTGGAACTCTTGTGAATCGCCGGATGTCCCTGGAGAACGATTTCACCAAATAAGGCCCCTATTTCTCAAACCATAATACGGTTCCCTCCTGCACGGATACCCTCGACGATGGGCACACTCGCGCCCTCGCCGCTTCCCATTCTTTCAATGTTCTACAAGCTACTAGGTGCAATTGCTTTGAGTCCTCTCCTTTAGTCTGGACCTGAGTTCTGTAGGTGAATGGTAACAAGGAGATAGTATAGTAGTGGCAAATGAAGCAAGAATAGCTATAAATGGCTTCAAATGTTGCTGTCGTCATTATTGATGAGCCGTAAGCTCTTTTTCTACGCAACGCCGTTTCTAAGCTAAGCCTTTGATCCCACAATTTCCTACCTCAGGAATTCAATTGTAATGCATGCGCTCTCAACATGCATCGTGAAATTTAATAAACTATACTGAATGTATTATATTACGCATATTCATGTTTCCAGTAGTTTTCCTTCTCTGTTTCTATGAGTTTCGTCTACTTTCAAATGTTTTCAAACCACTGGCTTCAAATGTTACGCTAGCTTCTATAAAACCGAGACTCAGGGCCCGTTATTTCGCTCCCTTTGAAATATAATAGCCCACAAAAATACATATGAGTGATCCCACCTGAGCAGCCCGTTCCATTTCCATTACTGGTTTCCTTGTTGTCAGTTCCAAAATATCTGTGACAAAAAAAAGGAGCAGGGTGTGGTTGCGCGTAGTTATGAGTAAGGATAAGTTCTTCGCTTTTGATTATGGTCGGGCTCACACGTTAAGGTTTTCTAATGAATTTGGTCCCACTTCTGAATTTACTCTTCTACTGTAATTATGTAACTGAATTTCAACGAGCTGTCGTGAATCAGACCTGTCGCAGTACATTATCATAAAAGATCTATTCTACCCGTACGTTACAAAACTCTCAAGAAGAGTGTTGCGCAAAAGAAACGCCAAAAATCGAAGACTCTACTGTTGCATGTCCAACTTGTAGGAAATCCATTGGCTGACCTTGCTTGGCCTCCCAGTTTCCAATACCACGCCCAGGCACCCTGCTAGCTCTCGCACACCAGCACGGGTGTTTTCTTCCACCACTGGTGCCCTTATTTGGAGTAATCGAGCGCAGAATCATATGAGTGATCTAGTCAATTGAATTCGCCACAGTTGATCTACTGAAAGTAGCGGTGGATGTGTGCAATTTTTACGAAACTTAGTACGGTAGCATAATTCTAGGATTACTGTGACATACGGTAGGTCACTTCGCACTTTCCATGAAATCTATGAAATGACCCCGCTCATTGAATGAAAATGAATCAATGAAACATCCGCTGAATGCTGACCTCGACACCTTCAAAGCAAACAAATGAAACAAGTGAAATAATGTTCGAATGTTGAATTGCTGTTCAAAAGCTAATTATTTTCTTGGGAGAGGGACTTTAGTCAAAAATGACCTCTTTATCACTACTTCGCACCTGCCACCTTATGACTCCTAGCAATCGCCTACGGGGTGGCCTCACTTAGTTGACAGTGCTGGCTGCTGACGTTGTGCAGACATTCAAAGCTCCATGGATCGAGACGAAAATATTTCTCTCACAAAACTTGTAAGAGCTTAGGTTAGGTGGTTCACTCAACTTTGGTCATTTTTCTCGTTTAGCAGGAAATGTTTATTGTAGAGAACTGATGAAAATTATTCAGCCAAAGAGCTTACCACCATTTTCTTCAGCACCTTTTATATTTTTTT